GCAGTCTTCAAGAGGATGGATGACATGGCTTTAATTTGCCTTTAGTTACTAACTAGTTGGTGAGTAATATATGCCTGCTAGTAAAAAGGCTTGTATTACTGTAATTATAAGATTTAAATTTGACTGAATTGATGTGAAACTTTGAAATAAATTTTCAAAGTTGGTTCATTTCATCATAGGATTTACAGCCCTGATATGACGCTGTGTATAAAGAGGTGGGAAAGAGGTGATTGTATCTACTCTAATCAATGTTTCGGTTCTTTAACTGGAAGCTGATATATTTAGAGTTTTCTTGAAACTGACAATTTAGCGTTAAGAATAGGGTTCATTTCAGGCAGAAGTAAGACTTCCTCTTTGTGAGACCTAGATTAAATTTTAGAATTCAGCCCAGCTGGGGGGAGCTAAGTAAGAAAAGCAGTAATAATGTAGTGAAAGGAAATGGGATTATGGAAGAGACAGGGATATCTTCAGGACCTTTCATCTCTTTAAAGATAAATGAACTATACCCAGATTTGCTTGAAATGGCATCCAGTTTGAGAACAACAATAATAACTAGTTTTAACAAGTATGAAAATTTTTCTGTTAAATATGGGTCTCACAGCTGGAGACTTCAAAGAAAGGGGCTGCTAGGCCTGTATTTTAGGAAGTTGGAACTCAGTTGAAGTGGTGTGGTATAGGAAAAAGAACACTGGGCCTGGGTCCCAACATTGTCGCTAACTATGGGACTTAAGATAACTCACTTAACCCTTTGTGCCTCAGATTCCTTATAACTAAAATGATCAGTAAGGTCCTTTCAAATTTTAAGATTCTTTGAGTCTAAATGATATAAGCAGGTTCAGCCTTCTGCATATTAAACTGGCAAAATAGAAATTTTAGGTTAATGAGGGAGGTATCTTTGAAAGCCTGGCATTTCAACTATGCTTAAATCAAACCAGGAAGGCAGCTTCCTACTCCATCTACACATAGGGGCAGCCTAGCAAACCGTAGAATCAGTAGGAACCTTAGAGTTCAGCTAGACCAACCCCTTTATTTTACAGAAGAGGAAACTAAGATAGATTAAGTGACTTTCCCAAGTTAACTGACTTACAACTAGTAACAGATCTGTATTTCCAGCTCAAGTTCTCTGATTACAGATCCAGGTTTCTCTCCAATGATGTTCCTTCCCTCAAAGTGGCTTACTGTCTGCTAAAAGAGCTTACATCTTTTTTTTTTCATGCTTCTTATATACTGGAGAGAGAGCATAAAGATGAGGAAAGAGTAAAAAGATACCCCATTCCTTTAAAATGTGAGTGATAATAGAATCTGATGAGATCTTACAAGGTGATAAGGATAGCCCAATAATAAGCTTCCTGGATGGTGGTACAGAAGTCAGAGAAGACCCAAAGTAATGCAATCAGGTGAGAAATGAGGATTTACCTGCAATGTCTTTGACATTTTATTGGTCTTTTGTTACTTTTTTTCTTTTTTACTCTCTATCCCCCCTTCCCTTGCTTTTCAGCTTTCTTATATGTTTTTTTCTTTTCTCATTTGAGGGCAGGAACTGCCTTTTTTTTTTTTTATTTGTATCCCCAGCATTTAGCACTGTGCCTGCCACTTAGTAGGTTTTTATTAGTGTTTCTTGGTTTGGTATGATTGATTCAATAAGATGCCACACCCTGATGCATTTTATCAGGTGAAAACAAATCTCAATCAAGGACTTTAAGAGGGTAAAGTCATTGAATAAACTGGAGTGATGTTGACAGGAAGAGAATTTAGATTAACTGTGGAAACTTGGTTAGGCCCTATGGGTTGTGTGTAAAATAGAACAGCTCAGAACCCAGGCTATTTCACATTTGGAGGAGCAAGGTGGAAGGAATAGAGGTGAATTGGGAAGAACAAGTAGCTCAGAGGCAACCAGCAAAAGGAGGAAGAAAAAGTAATAATAATTATATATTATATGATACATTGTAATAATATTTAATATATTTATTAATAATCTAATAATTGTATTATAATAATAACTTTTACATAGCACCTACTATGTGCCAGTACTGTGTCAATATTTACAAATATTATCTCATTTGATCCTCACAGAAACCCTGGGAAGTAGGTGCTATTATTATCATCGTTTTACAGATGAGGAAACTGAGACAAAAGTTAAGAGACTTGCCCAGAGTCACACAGCTAGTAAATATCTAAGGCTAGATTAAAACTCAGATCTTTCTAATTCAAGGTCCAGTGCTCCATCCACTGTGTCACCTAGCTTCCTATAAAAAATTAAGACTGAGCTGTGGCAAAGATGAGAGACATTGAGGAGAACCATTGGCCTTACAGGAATCTCTGAGCAGAAGATTCAGACTGACAGTATCAGCTGTACCCATTTCCTGAAGAACTAAACAAATGTCTAAGAAAATCCTTTCCCCAACTTTCCCTCCCAATGCCTATCAACAGACACTAATATTCTGTACTGCTTTTTTCAGGAGTGGGGACCCTTCGGCTAAAGGCCTCATGTGGCCTTCTAGGCCTTGGGTGTTGCCCTTGGACTGAATCCAAAATTCACAGAACAAATCCCCTTGATAAAAGGATTTGTTTTGTTAAACTTGGGCTCAGTCAAAAGGCCACACTTGGGGATGTAGAGGGCCACATGTGGCCTTGAAGCTGTAGGTTCCCCACTCCTGACTGATTCTAGATGTTTTCAGTAACCAGAATTTTGCCTCAACTACAAAGAAGTCAAGGGTTAACCAGAGATGAATTTTGTTGTTCAGTGGTTTCAGTTGTGTCCAATTCTTTGTGACCTCATTTGGGGTTTTCTTGGCAGACACTAGAGCAGTTTGCTATTTTCTTCTCCAGCTCATTTTACAGATAAAGAAACTGAGGCAAACAGGGGTTAAGTGACTTGCCCAGGGTCACAAAAGTATCTGAGGCCTGATTTGAACTCAAGATAAGTCTTCCTGACTCCAGGCCCAGCTCTGTATCCTGCCAGCCACCTACCTGCCCAGAGATGGATACAAATGTCAATGAAGCCTAAGGACCAAACCTCTGACTGAACATTAGGAATTTTCCACACTTGTGGTTCAAAGCCATTGTACTGCTTTTTCTTTCACAAAGTTCTCTAAAGCAGCAGAGGAAATCACATAGACCTGATGAGGCATTATATTGTTCCAGGCTTAGAATAAGGTAACATTTGTAATGATATTATGTATGAATGAATAAAGAAGTGTTTTTCTAGTACTCACTGTGTGCTAAACACTATGCTCAGCATTGGGGTTACAAATACAGGAAAGCAAGATAATAGTCCCTGGCCTTAAGAAGCTTATATTCTATTAGGGGACAAGACGCTTAGTATGAAAGGGAGTGGGTACCAGTGTAATAATGGGGCTTGGAGATTGTAGGGAAGCGTCAGGGTTATATTTGGGTCTGTGCCAGATAAAGTGAAAGCTCAGCAATCAGAGCCTGGCCCTCTGGGTGGGGCCTTTAACTCCTGTGTGAGGTGGAGAATACAGGTGGCATGGATAACAGTGATGGTTGGAACATGCAAATCATTATTTATTTATATTGCTCATTTTCCATTTTTGGTGGTCAGTTATTTGTTTAAGCAGTTCATAAGTATTTCAATTGTATGAAGTATCTTTTTCGTGTTATTCTTTATTTATTCTTTTTTGCCAATTCTGGTTTTAGCTCTGATGAGTAAATGGTCTGACTGTGTACAGAGAATTGATTCAGAATAACTTCCACTTGTTTTCAGAAGTATGGACATGGAATCAGAATGCCTAAGTTCAAATATGGCCTTAGACTCTTACTTGCTGTATAACCTTGGGCAAGTACCTCAGTTTCCCCATCTGTAAAATTAAGATAACAGCACCTACGTCCATGAAACTATGGATTTAGCTGGAAAAAAAGTCTCTCATATTTATTCATTAAAATTGCCTCTTTACCCGTTATTTGTATGAAAATAACATTTCAGGAGTTCATAGATTTAGAATTGGAAGGAACCTTAGTCCAATCCCTTTAGATGAGGTAACTGAAGACCAGAGAATTGAAAGGACTTGTCTCAGGTCACAAAGGTAGTAAGTTGTAGAGATGGAATTCAAACCTAAATCCAAAGACTTTTCTACTGTGCCAAGCTGCCTTCTTGAACTTTACTTCTAAAACACTGAGACTACTTGAAAACATTTTTTTAAGTTTGTTAAAACTTTACTTGTAGCATTTCTATGTTGTTCATGTTATTGAACTTCAGTGTTAGTTCAGTACTTTTATATAACAGATATGGAAACTGAGGCCCAAAGAGTATCTGTGGTTAAGGCCACAGAGCCAATTAGAGGCAGAACCCAGGTCTCCTGATGGCCATGTTTTTACACTACCTTTAGACAGTTTATTAAACAGTGTAAAACTTTTGCCCAGTCTCTGGTTATATTTCATGCATTTAAAATTAATAGAGTCCAAACTAAGGAAGTTTTTATTCTTACTTTATTTTTATTTATTCTTATTAATCAAAAGCAGCTGATGGTATTTTGGTTACATGACCATAGAGATTACTGTTCACTGCTCCATTCAACCTTCTCTTCCCACTCTATACCTTTCCTTTCTACTTTTTCTCCTTTTCCTGTTGGACTTAGATAATCTGAGAAGGCACATCAGAACACTGAGATTTTAAGACAAAAGTCTCTAGATGGAGACAAAGCTTAATTGTGAAAGGGTAACATTTGCAACAAAGACAGACACATTTAATTTCTATTTGTGACAAGCGCTCTCCTTTACTGTCTCTCTCTTCCTTTCCCCCTCACAAATTCATGTGATTGCAACATCTTCCATATTTGTGAAGTCTGTTAAGTGGAAATCAGAGTATGCTGTGGCAGTGAATGAAGCCTCCTTTTCTTTCCTCAGATCCACTTCCATTTCAGCCAGCTCAGATCCCTCCCTTTGGCTCTATTTTGTCCGTGACCTTTATTCTTTTTTATATTATCAGCAAGCCCTTCCCCTCTCAACCACATACCAGCTCATGGACTGTTTTCTGACTCAGCGATATAATTAAAGTGATTGTGCAATTAAGGAAGAAAATAAAAGCTGGTGATTTCTGATCTGCCCTCCAGAATCTAGCAGAAGAAGCCAAGGTACATGTGTGCGTACGCATGTGGAGCACAGCAACAGGCCAGTATAGCTTTGCGGTCATTTAGGTGTGTTATAAACATTTAGATAGGGTCAATTGAAGCTTTATTTAAAGTGATTCTAGAACTATACTAGCTTACTATTGTGGAGGGTGGGACCATGGCTGCTGAATGCTGTAGATACTGCCTATGGGGGTCTATGGTGTTGCTGTCTGCATTGATTAGTTTTGCTGAATTGTTTTCTTTATTACAAGAGAAGGCTCTGTGGGGGTCAGTTGGGGAGGGGTGCATATGAGGAAATGACTGTGATGTAATATATAAAAGGCATTGCAACTCTTTTTTTTTTTTGCTTTTTAGTGAGGCGATCGGGGTTGAGTGACTTGCGCGGGGTCACAAAGCTAGTGAGTGTCATGTGTCTGAGTCCAGTTTTGAACTCAGGTCCTCCTGAATCCAGGGCTGGTACTCTATCCACTGCACCACCTAGCTGCCCTTACAACTCTTAATAATGTAATGGTGGGGTAGCTAGTCACTTAACCCCATTGCCTAACCAAAAATAAAAACCCAACAAACAAAAAAATGTAATGACAAAAAAACAAGAAACAAAAAAACAACCCAAAAGCAAAAACAAACCAGGATTATTTCTGTAGAATTAGCAGTTGTGTGGTATGAAGCAATTGGAGATTAGGCCATTTCTGAATATTTCTGTTTGAAAAATTACATCATTGTAATAGATAAGTAGACTTTATATCTATATCTATATATCTATATCTATATATCTATGTCTATATTTATTTTTGCACATTTTAAAGGTTATCACTGTGTTAAAGGCAAAGCATTTATTATCTACTCTTATCAGCTATGCAAAGTATTATACCAGGCACTAGAACATGTAACTAATTTATTTCATAATAGTGTTCTATTAAGAGGCATACATGTAAAACTCTAATATTGTCCAAAGTGAACTTTCTAGTCCCACGATGACCTAAAGTTATAAAATTAGGTAGCACTGAGCATAAATTTACAAAAAAATATAGTATGTCCTCTTCGATATGACACATTCTATTTAAGTCATGGAATATTATGTCAAAAGCACAGACAAACAGCTTATAGAAAGAAAAACTTTTTTTTCATTCTCAGTGACCTTATAGTATATAATTAGAACACTGTTGCTTTTAAGAAAATTGAAAAGTTAAGTGTAGGAATTTATCTTTCAGATATGAACAGAGGATGGAATGGAATATGGCTGTAAGATGTTTTTTTGGCTAGGTGATCGGGGTTAAGTGACTTGCCCAAGGTCACACAGCTAGTAAGTGTTAAGTGTCTGAAGCTGGATTTGAACTCAGACCCTCCTGACTCCAAGGCCAGAGCTCTGTCCACTGTGCCACCTAGCTGCCCTTGTAAGGTATTTTTCATAGGCATACACAGAAGGAACATTGTACCAAGACTCTTCTACCTTCCTCCTTCTACATTTGTCCCCATCTATCACAGCTGGTACATTACAGATGTGAATAGAGGAGTAGTCTGCTTTTGCATAGAGGAACAGATATGTGCATATCTTTGCTGTCATTCATGTGTATGTTATACACATGTTTGTAACACATATAAAACATATATGTGCGGGATCCCAGTCCTGCTTGGGAGTATATGTATTAAATGCTAATCAATTTTGATTTGTAACTTGCTTTAACATCCAGAATCTATGTTGTTATATTTTTTGTAGTTTCAGTCAAGTTTCTACTTCCATAGCCTGACATAAACATTCCTAATGGCTAATGAGGCTCAACCTTGCCCATGTGACATTGGACATAAGATCGAATATGGAGGCCTGGGACATGAAGTACAAATTGAGCATATCAAGGCTTATGTTAGCCAACCACCATCTAACACAGACAAAGCTGTGATTGTTGTTCAAGATATTTTTGGCTGGCAGATGCCCAACACCAGATATGTGGTTGATATGATTGCAGCCAATGGATACATGTAAGTATGACATACAAAATGCTGCTTTTCTTGAACTTTGCCTCAGTTTTTCCTAGTACAATTTTTTAAAGGGTTAAAAACTTCCAGGAAGATATTATTCTTTTTAAAAATTTATTTAAAAATTTTTCTATATTTTATTTTTTCTAATTACATGTAAAAACAAATTTTAATATTCATTTAAAAAATTTTGAGTTCCAAATTTTCTACTTCCCTTCCTAACCCCTTCCTTAAGAAAGCAAGCAATTTTATATAGATTATGCATGTGCAGTCATGCAAAACATATTTCTACCTAATATTCTTATGTGTGCATATGTTGGATTGCCCCTTCACACTCACCCTATAGTCTAGAAGACTATATGCTCCTACAAAGCAGGAACTGTGTCATTTTTATTTTTGCATCTGAGTTTGAGTTGAATTGATTTGTTGAGTCATCCAGTCATGCAGAATTAAATAAACTTGCTTACTCATGTGGGATTAGAATCATTCTGTGTGGCTCTAACAAAGAAAGCTAGGACCAATGGGTAGAAGTTGCAGGGAAGCAGGTTTAATCTTACAGGAAAGAAGCATCTAAGTATCCAAATTGCCAAAAAAGAGATTAAACCACTTCATGAACTAGCAGATTTACTAACACTGGAGCCATTCAATTATAGGCTAGAGCACAACAGTTTCAGAAAAACCTGGGAAGACATATGAACTAATTCAAAGTGAATTGAGCAGAACCAGGAGAACATTGTACACAGCAACAGCAATATTGTATGATGATCAACTCTGAATGACTTAGCTATTCTCGGCGTTACAATTATCCAGAACAATTCTTACTTAATGGACTTAATGATGAAAAGACTTAACGATGAAAAAATGCTATCCACCTCCAGAGAAAGAACTGATGGGTTCTGAAAGCATATAGAAGTATACTTTTTTTAACTTACTTTTTTCTTCTTCCTTTCTTCCTTTTCTTTCTTTCTTTTTCTTCCTTCCTTCTTTCCTTTCTTTTTCTTTCTTTCTTGTCTGTGTTCTCTTTTGCAGCATGGCTAATATAGAAATGTTTTGCATGACTGTACGTGTGTAATCTAGCTCAAAGTGCTTGCCTTCTCAAGGAGGGGGAAGGACAGGGAGGAAAGGAGGGAATTTGGAACTCAAAAATTATTTTTTAAAAATATAAAAAAATGTTTTTTACATGTAATTGAGAAAAATGAAATAAAAACATTCTTAAAAAACAACAACAGCAACACAGCTTAGTCGGCCACTGATTAGGGTGGTCTTTTCCTCTTATGAGTCCTTGTGTTGTGTAGGAGGTTGAACTAGATCAGGGCTAAATGCATAAAATAAAACAAATGTTAAGGAAACCAATTACATTGAAATAGTTTTTTTTATTTTAGGTTCACAGATCCTAGGTTAAGAACCTTTTAGACTAGATGATCTGTAAGGTCCTTCCTAACTCTAAAATGTGATTTTTTTTTCTATATCATTCTGTTGTAAAGCTTTAAGCTAAAGAAGTTATATCTTCAGAAAAAATGTAGATATTAATTTGGCAATTGTGTTGGAGTGGAATTACTTCTTTTCCTTCCCTATTTGCCATTTAAAAGAAAAGAAAAAAGTGGTCCTTGAGTTAAAAGATTTATTTTCTTGTCCTCTGACATTGAGCAATAAAGAGAAAGTGACTGGTCTGAACTGAGTTGGCCTTTTTTAAATCTAAACTGAGTTGGCACGTATCTACTTGGCAGGAAAATACCCACAGTGAGCAAATATTACATAGGGTAAAGGTACATGGAGTATATTCAGCAAAGAAAATTTCATGGTCTTCCAATTAATATGACATGTCTGCCCCAGAGAGTTCCTTTAAGTAAATAAGCATGTGAAACCAGTGAATAAGACCAGGAGATGCCCAGATCTGCTGGAGTGGACAGTTCCCAAAGGGGCCAACTAGAGACTTCCCATCTTTTTTTTTCAGACCTGACTTGTAATTTCTTTAGTAGAGGGGATTCTGTTGGCACTACCAATGAGGGTCGGCACCTTCTCTGCAACTTATCGTCTTAGAGAGTTGCCTGGGCCACTGAGATTTGTCCAGGATCACAAAATCAGCATGTGTCCTAGAAAGAGCTTGAATAAAGTCTCCCTGGCTCCAAAGCCAGCTCTCTATCCAATAAGCCACACTGCCTCATATACTATTTAGTAGTATTTTGTTTAGTATTTAAAATAATTTTTGAATAGATTAAGTAATATTGTCTGCTACAAGCTGTATACTTGTTACTGCAGAAACAAAGATTTTCTGACCAGCAGAAAAAGAGTTTTATCTTCATGCCCACATAATTTTCTTTCCTTTATACCAAAAACTCTGCCTAGGAAGGGGAATGGGGTACAGTAGGGTGCATTGGTCACACTTCTTGTATAGAGTACCAACAAATTAAGAATTATGAGTATGTTGAATAATAGGCTGGCATACTAAAGGTGAGCTAACTTTTCTATTTCATAGAGCAATCTGCCCAGACTTCTTTGTAGGGAAAGAACCTTGGCACCCATCTGATGATATGTCTACCTTCCCGGAATGGCTGAAAACAAGAGATGCTAGAGATACTGATAAGTATGTTATCATAAGTAGTATGGTTTTAGCAGATGGGCCTTTTCACTATTTTTTATCTCTAATGCCTAGCACACAATAGATACTTAGTCTTTGAGTTGAAATGAATGGACTTGTTGAATGAATCCAGTCATGCCAGAGGGGACACCAACTTGGAGCTCCTGAGCAGTGCACTCAAGGCTTGCAGGGCTGAGCTGCTGCCCACAACTTCATGGGCCTATTTAATAGAATAAGGATGTCATTGTTAGGGCTGCTGTGAATAGCTGGGAGGGAAGTTGACAGACTAGCCTGGAGTGATAAGGGAAGAAGCATAGCCAGAGACCTAGTACTTTTTGTTGAGATGTTACCAAGTTCTGACATATTCTGATCTGACCCAGGAAGCATGGACAGAGATTTGAGGAAAGAAGCCTGGAAAGAGTGGGGGAAGGCACTAAGTCCTGGAAAGCTTGATTGAGTTAAAAAAAATGATGAATGATAGACTGTGGTGAGAATGGCATGGTGATAAGTGCACATAAGAGAGGGAGGGAAGGAAGGAGCAGTGAATGTCAGTGGTGAGCTCCCACCCTGCACTGAGCCTTGGTCTGGGCGAGGCCACATATGGGGGCAAGTGGTGATTTGTTTCCTAATGCCACCCACCTCCACCTGCTAGGGGTACAATGGCAAAGGGGGATATAAATCAGATTTTATCTCTTACAACTTGTCTGAATTATGAGCCCCTTCCTAATTCTGTTTCAAGATGGGATTGCTTTGAGGGAAGAAGGAAGATGCAAATATAAGGAACAGATGCATGTTCCATGACACATCATAGTGTAAAGGTCACTTTGGGTTCTTGAAGGTTAAATCAGCAACTGCGATTTCTGACAGGAAGTACCATGCTAAAAAGGCTTCAAGCTCAGGCTCAGCCACAGACTGCATGCTATCCATCAGAGGCCAGTTCTAAGTAAATTCAGAGAGTCTCAACATCAGAAGGCAGGCCCCAGCCAATGGCAATTATTTTTTTGCCAGTCATAAAATTGTTTGATATCAGCATCAATGGAATATTTGGACTGATGAAATCACAGCTTCTGAGAGTTTGATGTGCAAAAAGAAAAAGAAAAAGAGGTTGTTAACACAGTTTATTAAATAGGAGAAAGGGCACTCACAACTTGGGCTGCTTCTGCCACTGCCACAAATCTCCATAGTTTCTCTTCACATAAGAGATGAAAAAAAGAAGCATTGTGTTAAGTGCCTCTAATATTAGGTATTTCTGTCCCCGGATTGTACTGCCCATTTTTGTCCCCCTTTGAAGCTCCTATTACTTATTTCTGGTCCCTACACATTCTTGCAATGTAATATTCAATAGCTCACTTAGGTCTGATAAACCCTAAATTCATTCGGTCCACTTTCTAAGAACAGATAAAAAGCACTTCATTGAAAGACAATGAAGAGGGAATGCTCTTGTTTTGCTTTAAATTAAGTTCCATATACCTCCTGTCAACTAACTTTTGGTTAGTCAGTCAATCAGACAATAAACATTTATTAAACACCTGTTATGTGCCAGCACTGTGCTAAGTGCTCCAGAATATAAAGAAGGGCAAAACAGTCGCTGTCCTCAAGAAGCTAATAATCTCATGGGGGAAGAAAACACATAAAAAGAACCTGAGGGAGGAGAAGGGGAAGGAAGGTACCTGGCCTGAGGCATAATAAAGATCAGAGGAGTGCAACTGGGTAGGAAATTAGGCCCTCCATCAGCAGAAAATCTGGAAGTTCTCTAACGTCCACCTTCCATCCTATCCAATCAGAGGGAGGGAGGGCACTCAGGGGAAGGAGGTATTGATGAAGTGTGGGTTTCAGGGTTGATGTGATCTCACAGGATGATAAATTTCTGGAGACCATGAAGAAGACTAAGGGCATAGCCAGATGGGCCACTACAGCAATACTGCAATGTAGGCAGAACGTGATCGATGAACATTTCTTACATGGGAAAGGCTAACCAGGCTAGGGATACCCCACTCTCTCCTACTAGTGTGACCTGTCAGGGTCTTTCTTCCTTTCTTAATCTTATGCTGATTGACCATCTAGACTCACTCTTTAACAAAATCACTGACCTTCTCCTGTCCTCAATCCACCTCCCCTTTCTCCAATATGGATAAATCTATCTCTTTCAAGTTACTGTGGATTTAATAGGGGAGATATCAAGAGGATGAACCAAGATGGCCAAGTGGTAGGAACCAGTATGGCTGAATTCCCCTCCATGAACTTGTATAAAAACATCTAGAAAATGCATCAGACCAAATCCAGATAGAGAAATCTAGAAAGCCACAGTGAGTCATCTGTCCAGTACTGCTGACATAGGGAGGCAAACAGCGAGGTCTGTGGACACTGGGGTTGGGATTAGGCTGGGAAAGCACCTTGTGGAGCCCTCCAGAGCCCAGGCAGAGCCTGAGCATGAGTGCAAATGGAGATTCTGGACCCATACCAGGACACCCAGCTACATTCTGGGTCACTGCAATTGGGAGACGTGCCAACTGGCAGTTTTGTCACCTACTATGATGTTACAGATTTGAACACAGGTGGAATGACTGAATAAGGAGGCCCTGGGTGGGGTACAGAGGAAGGAGGAAGCCAGCATGACAAAAAAGTTGGGGAAAATCATCTCACATAGTCAAATAGACAGATATATCTATAGACAGATATAGAGATTTTATATATATACATACACACATGTAATCTCAACAAGGAAATAAATAGGAGGGAAAAGGGAGAAAGGAGGAGGGGAATCTAGAGGAAGGGTAGATTAAAGGAAGAATTAATCCTACGGGGGAAAAAAACCCTAAGGAGTCACAAAAATATAACTGTTTGAGGTGGCAAAAAATAGGATTCTGAGGGGATCACATAAATTAGGGAATGGATGAACAAATCATGGCATGTAAATATGAAGAAATACTATTGTGCTTATCTCTTATCAGCACAGTTCTAATGGACAATGATGATTCTGGAGGACTAATGATGAAACATGCTATTTACTCCTGATACAGAGGTGAAGGACATAAGAGCATAGAATGAGACAAGTAATTTTTCAGATATGGCCAATGTGGAAATTTTTTTCATTTGACTATAAATGCTTGTAATGGGTTTTGCTTTTCTTGTGTTCTCAATTGGGGGCAGGGGTAAGGTAGTGAACAGGAAGGTGAGAAGGTAGATTTTGGCTGATTAAAACAAATAAAATATTTTAAAAGAAAATAGAGGAGGTATCTTGGACAGTTATGGGGCTTGATAGATAAAGTTAGTGTGATGCCATTTTTAAATAGGAATATTTTTTGTTTAAGTGGTTATTTTCTAAAAAGCACTGGGCTGGCAAATCTCCATTTTTCAGTTTTCTTAAGCAGGTCCATTTCACATTAAATCTTGTAACCTCTAAGGTTCCAACTCTAAAATTATTTGATTTTATTATTCTACTTTTATACAACTTGATTTTTTGTTGTATTTAAGACTCTTCATAGTTTGGATTTACTATTTACTCCTGCCTTTAATTTTGGGTATTTTTCTTTTGTTTGTGTCTTATACAGAACAGCTAAGATGCTGTCAAACACCTTTTGTGACTATATCTCTCACCCTTTAACACCTGAAGAATGGTTGGAAGCCCTCTATTTAATTAAAGTCCATTTCCCCCTGCAGCATTATATTCAATTTTGTTAGATAAGTTATTCTTGGTTGTAAGCTCAAATCCTTTACCATGTGGAATATTATATTTAAAATTCTCTGCTTCTTTACAGCTGCTAAATTCTGTGTGATCCTGACTCAAATTGTTTCTTCCTGGCTTCTTGCAATATTTTTTGGTTATAACATTACTAGGAGTTTTCATTTGGGTGTTTCTTTCAGATGAATAGTGGGTTTTCTCTATTTTCACTTAACTTCTACTTCTAAGAGAGTTGGACAGTTTTCTTTTAAGATTTCTTGAAACGGGATTCTGGGCTCTGTTCTTGGTCATGGTGTTCAAATAGTGCAATGATTCTTAAATTTGTTCTGTTCGATCTGTTTTCCATATCAATTGTTTTTGCTATGAGATACCTTACATTTTCTTCTATTTTTCAACCTTTAAATTTTTATTTGACTAATTTTTATTGTCCCATGAAGACATTGGCTTCTAATTTGGTATTTGGTCCATTCTAGTTTATAGGGAGTTTATTGCCTGGGCAAGGTTTTGTACCACTTGTGTTAAGCTGTTACTCTCTTTTTAATTTTCTTCCATAGCTTCCATTTCTTTTCCAACTTTTTCTTTAAGCACTCTCTATTTTAAAACTTTTTTTTTAAACTCGTGCTTCATCTCTTGTGTCCAAGCTATGTTTTTTTTCCTGAGGCATTAGAATTATTCTCTTCTGAGTTTGTGTGTTGAGTGTCCAGGGCACCATAATGTCATTATAGTGGGGCTGTTTTTTTTGTTTGCCAGTTCTTCCAGACTACTTCCTGACTTCAGACTTGATGTTAGGCCTGCGTTCTATCACACTTCTGAAGGGAAGATCTGAGTAGGTCCTATTGCTACCTTCTTGATGTTTTGAGTGTTGGGTTATTCCGTGATTTCAGGGATAGGCTGGGGACCTGCAGCCAAGCTCTCAGTACTCCAAAAATGGTCTGTTTCTGGGCAAAGTCTGATTGCTGTCCTGGTTTGAATTCTGCAAGTTCCAGACTTGTGTTGGAGTCTGAGCAAGAGTACACTGCTGCTGGACTCTTGCCTCTATTAGCCAACAAGGAAGTTCTGCTGGTTCAGTGAGAGAACCACAGGCTCTGCTTTGGTCTGGGATACCTAACCTGGTTATTCCTCTACAGGCTGATCTAGATGCTGGAAATGAGATACCTCTCTGCTCCCTGGGGCACCAAGCCAAACTTCTACTGCTTGCTTCTGAATGTTCTCATTTCTTGGTTGTAGCCCAGGATCTCCCTACCTGGGAATGCCCTTGTCTCCCTTTTCCCTGTCCCCTCATCCCTTTCCAGGTTGCCTTCCCAGTCTATCCTGGACCTATGGCCCAGAACTAGGTATTGAGTGACAAAGTTGCCAGTTGGCACCTGTCTCTGTTTCAGTGTTCTGTTGTAAGCCTGAGGGTATCCTAGTATGGGCCTGGGACCTCCTTTTGCCCTGGTGCACAGCCCCTCCCTGAGTATACCACATGCCTTCATGTTCTTGCCCTGACCCCAATCTTAGTGTTCCCAGACCTCTCTGTCTGTCCCCCTATGCCAGCCTGGGCTGGTCAAAGAACTCACTGACTTTTTCTGCATTTCCTGTTCAAGATTTGGTCTGGTACATTTTCTGTTACTCAGTCATCTTGGTTCCACCTCCAAAATCTTAAACTTAAAATCAGTAAGTACAACAGGATTTTATGTTCTTTATATTCTTCTGTCAGTTATGTGACTGTAAAGATGTCATCTTCTGTAGAAAGTCTTGTACTGGTTGGCATGGTGTCACATGTCTGTGATCCCTGTTTCTGGTAAAGCTGGTGGATCTCCAGACTTCAGGAGTTCTTAGCTAAGCCTGTCAGATGTCTTCAATTATTTGGCCTCAATATGGTGAGGTCCCCTGGTCTATGTGTAGGGGTGGGGTACCAGATTACCTAAGAAGGGGCAAATCTATCCAGGTTGACCTATCCAGGTCAAAGCTTCCATGCTAATCAATAGTGGGATTAGGCTGGTGACTGGCTGCTGTACTTCCAGTCGAGGTGAGACAGGGAAGCCCAGTTAAAAAAAAAGTCACCTATGAAAGTCTGCCTCTTTGCTTCACATGTTTTTTATCAAGGATGTCTTCAGTACTGGTATAGAGGTCTTATGATGAACTTAAGTAAATAGGTCACTATTTACTTGTGCACCAAAATCTGCTGTTGAAGCAGGAATGTAAGACGTTCTATAAAGAGCTAATGGGGGTCTTCTAAATTGCCAACTTATATTTTGATATTTGATAACTCCAGTGGGAAAGTAGGCAGTGGTCAGGACAGTGATCTGTTGAGAAATTTGATTCCTGATAAGGGAATGAAAAAGGCCAAAGGCTTGTAGACTACCAAGAGGCCTTCTAACTGTATTAAAAATATTTTTTTCAAAAAGAATTGGAAGGTAGTAGATGGGGTAAACATTGAGTGACAATAAAAAATGAAATAGATTTTATCTTAATATACTAGATCAGAAATGATTGGTTGTTGACATGGATATTATGTCAAAGTATGTTGTTTTTGTGCAGTTAGATCAGCTATTAAGAACAAAGGTCAAATAAGCCCTGAATTAGAAGCATAAAGATGAGAGGCCACCATGTATGGTTACATGATCAAACTAATCTGTTTGAACAAGCTGTTGATTCTAGAAAAAACAGGAAATGGATAAAAGTGAAGATATTGACTCTGACACAGTGGAAAGATTACTGGATTTACATGTGGTGGATATGGAGACCATTTATGTGTTGAGGTCTAGGTAAGGAAGAGGATTGTTGTTAAGCAGAGGTTGAGGTACTGCTGAGTTGCAAATAAGCAAGGAAAGTGAATGGGGCTAAACCAAGGCCAGTGACATAAGAAAGAAAACTCAGAAACAACTTTTACTAACAGAAGCCATGCAAACCCTTTTGTATGCTCTATAAAGACATAGGGAAATTAGCCTTTGTACCAAAGAGATACTTTCTCAAAAGTGCATTTCTAGGTTTATAATTGTTTAGCTTACTTTCCTAATGACTTTCTTTTAATACATTCATAGTGACCAACTAATGGTGATTATGGATTAAAAATATCATTATGAAAGCAATACATGACCATGCCCATGTAAATGTAAAGAACAAAACCCCTCAAACTTAATGCTGTATAATTATAATAATTATAGTGTTGTCCCTGAAGAAGAGATGAAAAAATGCACTTCTCTCTCTTCTTTGTCAAGGTGGGTAGGTGAGGTTGGGAGTCTACATATGTAGAATGTTATATATATTGTCTGACTCAGCTGATAGTGTCATTGAACTGCCTTTTTTTTTTAAGCTTTGTTATAAGGAATGGCTTGCTGAGTATAGTGGGGGAGGGAGGAATATATTTAGACGTGAAGGTGATATAAAAACAAAAGTTATCAGTAAAAATTAAAAGTTTTAAAAAGTGGCATTGTAAACAGAATGTATATGACTTAGGCTGAATACATTCAGGCATGAATGAGTGTCTTGTCTTGTCTGTTTGTGCTTATGTGTGTGTGCTTATGTATGTCAGAACTAATTGTTTCATGGTTCATAGTTCTTTGCTAGTTATTAGATCTCTGAAAACAATTTCCTGTCTCATGATTATTTCTTCTAATTTCTCATATTTTTACATATCTTGCTTGATTTTGGCATTGCTAATTCAACATTAGGGTTTAAGCAGTAGGAAAATCTGGTTCAATATAAAAATGCCATTTAACATAGTCAAATAAAATTTGCTATAGTTATAATGTATTGTTATTGGTGATAGGATTAATGGCTCAATTTTCTTTCTAGGTATTTGTGAAGGTAGTCTTTATTTCTTAATACCTTTTCCTTATTCGTTACAGAGAGGCTAATGTTGTTCTTAAGTATCTGAAAGAGAAATGTCATGCCCAGAGAATTGGTATTGTTGGATTCTGCTGGGGCGGAATTGTTGTACATGATTTAATGATGAAATATCCAGAATTAAAAGCAGGAGTCTCAGTCTATGGTAAGCCTTTCTTATATTTTACATAATGCCTTAAATAGTGATCTTAATATGTGCTTGTGCCAAGCTTGAAAAATAAAGTTTTTCCCCTCTTCCTGGGGTGGAGCCAAGATAGCAGAGTAAAAGCAGTGACTTGCTTGAGTTATCCCCCAAACCCCTCCAAATACCTGTAAAAAATGGCTCTAAACAAATTCTAAAGCAGAAAAATAAACTTTTTCCCAATTTGCTTAGTCTTAAACACAATACAAAATCAAGAGGTACAAATATGGAGTCACAAAAGTAAAGAATTTTAGAGCTGGAACCTTAGAGATTATAAGGTTCAACGTGGACATAAGAAAACAAAAAAATGAAGCCTTGCTAGCATAGTCTTTCAGAGAATAGCCACTTGATAAATTTATATTGAGTGTATGAACAAACAGGGTATTTAATACTTTTCAGAGTGGAAACAATAGAAAAAACTCTTTAATTACTGTGGAAAGAGGTTCTAGGTGAGGCTTTGCTACCAATTCCCTGTGTGACATTGGGCAAATGACTATTTCTTTTGACTTCAGATTCCTTGTCTACAAAATGAGAGGCTCAGATTAGATGATTTCTAAGATTCCTTCCTTTTAAACATTTTATGAAATAAACCTATCTATATGCGACACTTCAGTTAACAATTATAATTGCTAAAACACAGAGGACTAGCTCATCCCAGTGCCTAAGTCACATATAAGTTACAAGTTAGGTACCTGAGAAGTGACATTATTTATTCTTAAAGGCTGTAAAGTTATATAATAGGTATACATGGTGACTAACAAGATTCACTTCCATATATAAAAGACCTAACTTATTCCTAAGATATATTGTGTACATGGAGGACTAGCTTTTACCTTTTTGTAATCTATAATGTGCATATGTAGCCTTTAAGTCTATTTTCTTTTAGACTATCTACTATCCAACCTTCCTTTGAGACTGACAAATAAGATTTTTTTTTCTAGGTTTGCTGTAACAAAACAAATGCTGATATTTTACTTAAATCAACTCAATGCATTAAAATTATTTTCAATGTTTTCTAGGCATTATCAAAGATTCTGAAGATGTATATAGTTTGAAGAATCCTACACTATTTATTTTTGGAGAGAATGATTTTGTAATTCCTCTTGAGCAAGTAAGTGGTCATTTCAAAGTGGGTTGTTTGCATCTATATCTTTACCAACACATGATGTGACATTCTCTGAGAAGCATTAGACTAAGCTTCAGTTTTCTGGTACAACTTTAAAATCCCATCCTTTCTATGAGGCCATCTGAAAGAAATCGTATGTACGTATGTACATATGTGTACCTGTAGGAAATGTCAGTTCTCAGTGAGAATATAAACAGGGGAAGAGAGTATATGCTTCTTGAGGTTAAGGACATGCTTTTGTATGCTTTGGTTTGTTACATGGCAGACACAATATTCAGTGTGTTAAAAGGAATGTGAATTCAATTTTATAAGCTTTCCAAGTGAAGACCCACACCAGCCCGTCTTAAAGCATGTGCAATTTCAAAATATGGGAGAATTAAGCTCACAGAGAAAAGTAAGACTAGCTCTAGCAAAGTACCAATCTGTTAACCTTATAATAGTCCATTCACATAATGCATTGTATCAGCCAAAACTGATTATAACTGCCATCCTAATATTAAATGGTCATGGATTTCCCCTTTGCCACAGGTAAACTTGAAAGTAACAGAAATCCATTTTATCTGTAGGGCAAGTTTTGAACAATGGGCAATTTGGAAACTGGCAACAAGAAAATTGTTAAAATAACATTGTTATAAAAACGTTTTGCTTGACAGGTCACTTTGCTGACACAGAAGCTGAAAGAACACTGCAAAGTTGATTATCAAATTAAAATATATCCTGGGCAAACTCATGGGTTTGTGCATCGCCAGAGAGAAGATTGGAACCCTAAAGATAAACCATATATTGAAGAAGCAAGGAAGGATCTAATTAACTGGCTGAACAAGTATATTTAGCCAATAGCAAGGATACAGCCTTTTTCAAATTAACCAGAATGGAATTCTTAATAATTTTAACTTTCAAAATTCAGAAGACTATTAAAATGAATTATTTTACCTAGAAATCATAATTTCTGTTTTGAAAATCATCATATGCCTTGTTTATTCCTTTAACAATTATTCTCATGTTTATAGGTAACCTTATCTAGATAAGCTGCACGATAGTAAGATCTACACAAGTAATTGCAATATAGAATGAAGAAATATAAGGAACATATAATTCCAATAGTGGAATTTAGTGTCAGGAAAGGATGCTTTTGGCCGGAGGCATCAGGAAAAAAGGCAGCATTTGAGCTGGATCACAAAGGGAAGGAAGTAGATAAACATAGCAGGGATGTGTTCCAGGTGGAGGGGAAAATCAGGAGTAAAACCACTCTTCTCTCCCACCCAAGGATACCGTTTTTCTTTGCAATGGATACATACTAGGGAGAAAGCAACCTAAGCATTATGTGGGAACTGTTACCCAAAGGTAATTATAAAAGAGGAGGCTTGATTTAATTTGTAGAGCTTTGAGTAACAACGTAAAATGAAAAACTGGAAGATTTTTGTTTAAGGAGCAATCTGCATGAATCTAACTTTACCATGACTTCCAACTGTTGTTGCCTTTGCATATTTTTTTCTTACATAATTCAGTTTTTGAAAAGCTCAATTTTTTTTCCCACCACAGATCTCACAGCTATGGGAGGAGCTATGATGTTAGTAGTCATAGATGTTTCAAAACCACCTCTAAATTTCCAGATACTCAGCTGCTAATGAACATACTAATATACTGTCTTGTACCTTAGGCCTAGTATCAGAGAAATGAGTGCAATGCTAGGACAACACATTAACCACAGAAAATTTAGCGGGTCCTTGTCCTGAGCACCTGCGTCTGCATTTCCGGTCGAGTATGAGAGAGATAAAGAAATATGTGGGCCAGGTGGGTAGCAAGTAAAGAACCGGCACCATTTATTAACCTGAGGGCTAGGGTTTTTATACCTCATTCGTGGGAACAGAACCCAGTGTAGCAAAAGGCAAAAGTATCAATTATTTTTCTCATGGGAACAGTAACTGGGGGGGGGGTGTCCCCCCTTGAACCGTTTCCTTGCCTCCCGTAATCTTCAAGGTCCTTCTGTTCTCAAGAGAGACAGAGCAAGGGGGATTGGAGAGCCTACATATCTGACTTAGGCAGCCATCGGACAGAGCCCAGGCAATAGGTAAAACCTGGCCTAGCCTAAATCCTCTGACTCAGTGCTGGCCCTCAGCAGGTCCTGGAGGGGAAAACTGTGGATAAGTACACTTAAATTTATGAAATGATCTTAGTTTGCAAGCAATCCAATTAGTCTTGATGAAAATTAAGTTTATTATGATAATCATCCAGGACCATACCTTGAGTGTTAGACAATAGCCATCTGTCAAAAACCAAAAAAACCCCAAACATCCAGAACATGAGGCTAAAATAAATAATTTTTAAACCAAATTTTGTGAATCATCTTTTGCATATTTAATGAGGTTGAGATTTTGGGGGCTAGTCATTTTTGATCTAGGGATTATTACCTTCACCTGTTTCTTAGTGTTCACTGTTACACACATGTATAATATGAAAACCATCTTTATTCTGAAAACCCTTTCATATCCACCACATAATTTAATTCCACAGGGCATGTGGAAGCATTCACATTTTATAGATATATAAATTTGAGTGTGCATGATCAGCTGATGGTCATAAGGTAAAGTGATGGGAGACAACTATAATCTTGTGAATCCCCTGCCCAATACTCTTTTGCCTATGCTACTGGTTTTTGAATGGTGCACTCTGAGGTTTACTGGATATGCCCCCAAATCTGAAGCTATTTCCTGTGCTTATGTTTGCTGCCTGCCCTCACAGAGTCTGGTATTTCCAAGGTCCTAATAGCAACTCTTATCTATAGATGTACTTTTACCTCCTCCACTGTGAGTGCTAGGAAAGTAAAGAAAGGAGAGGGTAGGGAAATAAAGGTAGAGGTTTCCCAAGTCTGGAGTCTTAGAGGACTGGAAAGGCTTCTTTGATAGCAAGTACTGTGCTTTAAGCAAAAAAGGTTTGAAAACCACTGCAGTAAGCCATTAAGTTATCAAATGAATACTGTTTTAAATTGTTTTTTCAAATAGTATGGTAGAATTAGAACAATCTATACCCATTCATTAATACCCTCAATTAACAGGAACCCCACTCTAAGGCCATTTTTCTGCATGATGCTAGGTCCACAGTTTTCTCTTAACACCACGAGAGTGATGAGTAAACCCAGAACCAGAACTGTTAAAATAACATGTCTCACAATTCAATGACTAGCAAAATATATTTCACTTTTCTGTCTTCCACTTTTCACTTTCACAAAGTCTCATTTAAATGCTCTTACAAATAAACTATTCTTAAAACTTGATGAGAAACAGATAAAGATCTAATTTAGAGATCCCTTTAATAAAACAAATACAAAAACTTGTGTCAATCTCTCAACAAATACAGTTTTGGAAACAAGCTATGGTTAAACAGCTAATTTATTATTGTTTTTCGAATATAGTAATTACAGTGTCAAAAAAGGGAAAAAATAATAAATAGCTGTGGTTGCAACACATAACTCCTGTTTATTTAATCACATCAGTAGCTTTACTACATTTTACTCCAACTTAAGTTTTCATTCTTCAGATTCTCCTGGTTTGCGGATATCATCAATCTTCAGAATCATCCTGACCATTTGTGTTGCAAGCGAAATCTGTTGTTTTTTGCCAATCAAAGTTTCTATGACATGCTGTTGTTTCATATCTGGGAAAACACAGAAATGATTTGGATGTCACAATACAATCATCTACAGTTTAATATTAAAAATTTAGTCCAACTATTATAACATAATAATTCTCAATTCTGATAAATGAAGGATAAAGTCAATATACTGAAAAGAATGAAGTTAATATTCTAAATTACAAAAAAAAGGAGAGGCCTTCTCCAATAGGGCCAATCTATAATTAGCTCCTGTTCCCATTTCTAGAATGTTAATTCTTTTAAGTATATTATGCATATTTTTTGAAGTCTGTTTTTTCCCCAAAGAGTGGAAATGGTAAAATCATCAGCAGCTCATTTTCTAATAAATCCCCTTTTAAAAAAAAATTTTTTTTTAGGCAGTTGGGGTTACATGACTTGCCCAGGGTCACATAGCTAGTAAGTGTCAAGTGTTTGGTCTGAGGTCAGATTCTAATAAGTCTCAAATTAGTAAGAATTTAATAATCTGATTTTGCCATAGTAAAAATGAAAAATACTCCAAATGTGGTCTGAAAAGCAGAGCAGGATGACACTAGCATTTTACACCACCTGGACACCATTTCTATTGGTCTAAGATTAAAGTAATTTTTTTTAAAAAAGGGAATCAAAATTTATTCATGTCAAATGGTTAGCTAAAACCCCACATCCTCCTCATCTGTTTTCCTTCATTTTCAAACTTCTTGAAAAAGCTGTCTATATTAGATGGGACACGTCCCCTCTTCATCTTCACCAAGTATCCTTAACATCCTGTAATCTAATGTATCTCCATACCACTACTGAACTATTCTAAGGTCATGAATAATTCGACTGCCAAATCTAATGGCTTATTTTTTTTTCTAGTCCTCATTCTCCTCCACATCTCTGTAGCAGTTAACAATGTTAAACTACCCTTGGCTCCAGAGACACTGCACTGTCTTGGTTTTCCTCGTTTCTCATTCACTAATTACTCAATCAGGGTGTTTAAAGGTGAGTATTCTTTAATGTTCTGCCCTGAACCCTTGACCTTTTTCTCTTCCTAGCCAATCTCATTTACTCCTACAAACTCAGATTACATCTAAGCTACTGAGTTATATCTATACCTCTAAGCCCAGCTCTTTTGAGCTCCAGCCCTCCATCTGTAACTACTCATGTGGCCTTTCTACCTGCATGGTATTTTAAACTCATGTCTGTCACTTTAAACTTGTTCTTTTTAAATCACACTATTTATAGTGGAACTACCATCCATCCAATATCCAATGTTAATAACCTGTGACTCTTCTTCATTGCCCAGTTACCAAATCCTGGTGACGCTTGTTTCCTATTACCTGTCTTTCCCCTCTCTTCTATTCCCCAAAATATACTTCAATCATCCTCCCCACTCGCCCCAAATTGGCCCTGTGCATCACTGTCAAGCTGGTGTGGCATAATGAAAAAGAACACTAGATCTGGAAGTAGAGGGCTTGTGTTTAAATGCCAACTGGGCTTTCAGCTCATTTGTAAAATGAGATGAAACTTGATGATTTCTAAGGTCCTTTCCAGATCTAAATCCTACGATTCCAATATTTCTTCAACATACACATACTCAGTCATGCCCTGTTTACAATGGCTTTTACATCCTCAAGTAAAGTTTAAAATCCTTTGCCTGATCTGTTTAAAATTCAGCGACATCTTACTTTCCCAGACTCATTGCATTATTACTCCTCATCACATATTCTGTGCTCTTGCTACACTGGACAACTCAAGTTCTTAGGCTTCTAGGCCCTGGCTCAAGCCATTCCTTACGTTTAGAAAATCTACGCTCTCCTCTGTCTACCTGCATAAGCTCAACTCAAACAACTGCTCCCCAGTTATAAAGTCTCCTCTAATCTCCCCCCTCTACCTTCAGATTCAAGAAAGCTCTGTTTTCCATTATCTATGTACTCATGTCATACTTTTGTGTAGACTAGTTATCTGCGTCTAGGTTCTAAGTAGCTCCCTGAAGTCAGGAATTGTGTTTTATTCTAAACTGTGCATGCTCCCTCCCTCAGCCACACAAAGCACTATACATATATTTACTATACATTTATCACTGTTAATAAATGAAAATGTTTCTTTTACATGTGAACTGTCAAGTATGGTTTCATTCTGAAAAAAAAAAACTGAATACAACAAAATACTACATTCAACTAAAAACTAGGTATAAAAATTGAACAATATAGTCATAATAAGTAACTCTCAACCTTCAATTTATTGATAATTCCACCAGCATAAACTTTTATTCTGCTAACAAGACCAGTTGTTGAGATGAGTAATTATGGATCAGTCCCTCTACATCTCAAATTTAATCCAAATTAGTGGGTTTAGTCATTTAAAGACAGACTAATAGATAAAAAAATATATCCTAACTCTATTCAATTTAAACCAAATTAAAATATCACAAACACAAAAAAAATCCTTTACCATTTGTACCCTTATGCAAGCAGTCAATACCAAGGGCAGGATTCATTTCTTTCACTTGTCTGGCTCGTACATCAGTCATAGTTTGGATGGGATTCATACCACTATTTTCAGAAAGGGCCATGGGTATGACTTCTAATGCATCTGCAAAAGCTCTCATTGCGTACTGCTCCAAGGAAGGACACTGTAAGTTAACATAAAATATTTTATTACAACTGATAGCAGGAAAATAGAACTAACTATAAAGCAAATAACATTCACTTAAGGAGAGGAAAAAAACATTTAAAAGTTTATCATGTGCCAGGTACTATACTAAGCACTTTGTAGATGTTAACTCATTCAATCTTCACAATATTCTTGTGAAGTAGGTGCTATTATTATATTCCTTTTTACAGTTGAGGAAACTGAAGCACACAGGTTAAGTGATGTGCTCAGGTCACAAAGCTGTTAAGTGACTGAGACAGAATTTGAATTCAGGTCTTCTTGAATCAATTATCTGTTGCACCACCTTAAGGAGATAATATGCCACACCCTGAGAGAATATAAACTCCTTGACAATAGGGACTGTTTCATTTTTATATTTGTGTCTCCAGTGCCTAGTAGCTGCTTAACAAATGCCTGTTGATTTTGCTTAATGTTAAATAGCTCATTGAAAACACATCAGGCAAGCATTGTTACAAGAGCAATTAGTTTCACAAGAATGATGTTTATGTACCCACAATAAGTTATACAGTAATGAATATGAGCTGAAGATCAAGGAATTAAAAGTCACCGGAGCTTGAGCTCTATCTCAGAATGTGGCTGACTCTTCACTTGGGAAGTACATAATGTACAAATGATTGGTGTTTATTAAATATGTGGATGCACTCAATTCTACTACTGGACTAAAGAGTCTAACTCAGCATGGACGAGTAAGAAATTAATGGCATTTTCTGTTTAACCAACTAACCAGTAATGGGGTTTTAGTATGTGTTATTAATTACTATATAACTAGTATGGTACCTTCTCTATTTCATCGCAGCTTCAAGCTATGCAAAGCATTACAAAAATGTCAAATTTTTAAATATAAAAGTCTCACATAAAACACACTGCAAATACTCTAATTTACCTTATCAGCTTCTTCACTAACTGCCAAAGCACAAGATATTTCAGCTGCACCACCTCCATACACCACACGATTATCACGAACTAGGTTTCTGATCACACACAGAGCATCATGAAGAGATCGTTTTGCTTCTTCAATTATCTAGAAGCAAAATGTTTAAGTACAA